GTCTGATGGACTTCCGTCGAGTGAACGTGCTAGATGAGGCTCAACTTGGTACGATCCTGGGAGCTGCGCTCGCAGCAGAGCGTGGTGAGAGATCCACCGAGCCTGAGACGCTTGACGGCTATGAGATCAGTGTGGGTATCAGAGAAAACTATTTCGAAACCAGTTTGGAGCGATCTAAAATTACTACCAAAGAAGGCAGGTAATGGGCAGTATCGCGGTTATGTACGTACTCTGAACTCTTAGACCATAGATGTCGAGCAGAAAGCAGAATTAGAAATTTGAGCCAGTGACACCGTGAAAAATCAGCTTGAAGCAGCGGAAGTATCAAGATGCACCGGCGTAAGTCGAGAAGTTGGACGTTTGTCGTGCTTTAACGATCTAAACATGAGCGCGTCAAGATGCAACAACGCTACACAACTCAGAGCACCACGCGCATCAATCGCCTTGTAAGCTGCGGGCGCTATACGAATGTAGATGTACTTGTAACGGTCAGTCAGATGGAGCAGAGGCGCAGCAGGGTCTTTGGCCGGCAGCGTCACATGGCTCAAGAATGTTTGGTACAAAATCCGGTTGCCTGATGATGCCCCGCTCGTTCGTCACTTTATCCGAAGGCACAGCCTCACGCGTTCCCACATTTCATAACGAACAGCCACGGTGTTGGTGTGCAATGAACAATGGCCATGTGGCGTTAACCAATACGTGACTAGGGCGGTGCACCGGCGGGGGCTTAGCAGGTAAGCGCGTCAGCTTCGGCTCTTGCCAACATCGCAAGGCATACATTATAACCTGACCTTCCATCTCAACCTTGTTAATTCCTATCTCAAGAATCAGCCTTGTCCGACTTTCTCAATCCTCTGTCACGCACCAGAACCCTTACACGCAAATAGCAAGATGGGTGTATGTTATCAGCCAGCTCCTTAGCTACCCCTCCACCCCACCATCGTCATAGCTAACCAGGCGAAGCTCGCATCTAAGATGCAGGCGGCTCAGGCTGCATCTGGCTATCCTCCGCCCGGTGGACAAGGCGGCTACGTAAGTCTTCAAGTGAAGGGTGATGTTGGCAATGATTCACTAATGCAACGTAGCCTGGACAGCCACAGTATCAAGCGTATCCAGGTGCCCAAGGTGCCGGTGCTCCCGGGGTAAGCCCAAAGCTCTTTCTTTCTCTTGTCACTTGCTCTGCGTCGTCATCGCCCTTCCCTACCCGCCACTTAAGACTGGGCATTCGCAAGCCTCTTCTCTAGTTCTCCACTTGCTTTTGGCTCCAATAAATTATCGCACGCCCGGCATCCACTCTGGACTTTTTCCGCCACACTTCGTTCCTGGACCTAGCCACACATGCCTCTATCAAGCAAGATGTCATCTAGCTATACTGCCTATCAGCCCAACGCCGGGCAGGCGCCAAATCCTTATGCGCAACAACAACAGCCTGGTCCTCCTATGCCTCCGCGTCCTGGTTCGTATGCGCCGCCGCAGTCGCCTTTTGCGCAACCGGCAGCTCCCACCCAATATGGCGCATCTTCACCATATCCACAAGGGCAGTCAGGGTATAGCAGACCCCCGCCACCACCGCCAGGACAACAGCCTTCATCTCCGTATTCTCAATCGACATTCCCACAGTCCCCACAACCAGGTCAAGCGCCCCCCGCGCAATGGAATCAGCCACAGGTCCCGCCGCCGTATGGACAGCAACCACCACAACAGCCTTACCAGCAGCAAAGCCAATGGGGCCAACCACAGCAACCCGCTTACGGACAGGCGCCGCAGCAATATGGCCAACCTTACGGCCAGCAGCCCGCTTTCCAACCGAATGTTCGTACTAATTTAGATTTCTTCGATTTTCAAACCCACGTATGAGCAAAGGCGCAGAGCTAGTGACTTTCCGCGAAGATTTGTGCAGAGACTAACGTGATATTAGGGTGGACCACCAGGACAGCCTCCGCAGGGCCAGTATGGCGCACCTCCACCACAAGGAGGATATGGCGGCGGCCCGCCCCCTCCCCAACAGGTTCAGGCCGGACCAGCTGAGATCGCGGGCTACAAGCAGCTTCTGCAAGCCTGCATCCAAGAGAAGGGCCTCCAGAACTTCCCAATCTGCCAACATATTGACCAGATTGCTCAACAAGCGCCCGCGAAGATCAATCAAGTCATCTCGCGCTGGAAGATCCAGAAGGAGATTGCCAATGACATTGTAAAGCTAGCGCTTTACGACATCGTGCTATACATCGGTAAGTTGCTCAGCTCGAGAATCGTGATCAAGCTGACACACATTAGATGACAGTGGATCCATGCAGTTCGAAGAGGAAGGTAGCCGTATCACAGATTTGCGCCTTATTTTGGACCGAGTCTCGTTCGCTGCAACTCTCTTTGACAACGATGGCATCTCTGTCCGCTGCATGAACACCGATCTTTCGGGAGCTCGCAACCAACAGGGTCGACCTCTTCAAGATGGCGTCGCGACTGAGGCTCAGGTCGCAGAGATCATGCGTGGCGTCAACTTCAAGGGCCTCACACCCATGGGTACCTCTATGGACAAGAAAGTCATCCAGGAGATAGTACTCCCAAAGGCACGCTCAGGACAGATGCAAAAGCCAGTATTGGTCATTGCCATCACCGATGGGCAGCCAGCGGGAGAGCCTTCCGGCGAGATCTTTAAGGTCATCAAGGAGACTTACAGACAGCTCCAGTCGACGCCCTACGGCCGTGGTGCTGTCGCTTTCGAGTTTGCTCAGGTAGGAAACGATGTGACCGCAAGGAAATTCCTCAGTCAACTCGATGAGGAACCCGAGGTTGGCCCTATGGTTGACTGCACGTCCAGTAAGTCTCATACGATCCAGACTAGACCTGTGCTAACGCAGAATCAGACTTCGAAAACGAACAGGAAGAGATGATGCGCGCAAACCCTCCTGTCGATCTTACACCCGATCTTTGGATCATCAAGCTTCTTCTCGGTGCCATTGATCGAAGCTACGACTCGAAGGACGAGAAGAGCAACCCTGCACCTGGCGGCTACGGCGCACCACCTGGCCAGTATGGCGCACCTCCTCCAGGTTACGGCCAACAGCCACCCCAGGGCTATGGCCAACAGCCGCCGCAAGGCTATGGACAGCAGCCACCCCAGGGTTACGGTGCTCCCCCTGGTCAGCATCCGCCCCAAGGATACGGTGCTCCACCCGGCGCACCTCCACAAGGCTACGGTCAACAAGCACCTCCACCAGGTCAGTATGGCCAGCAGCGACCGCCCCAAGGAGGCCCCGGCGGTTACCCAGGTCAGCAGCAGTATGGCCAACCCCCACCCGGCGGCAGATACTAGGAGTTGGGCCATGTAGCTTTTCCCAATGGCGTGAGTACTCGTTCAGATGATGGCTCAGCGTGGGACTGGCATAACCCGTAGGTTCTGAGAATCGTCACTGGCGAACGTTTTCGAACAATTTTACGCGACATGTCATTACGACTCTCTTTACTCCGTGAGCAGTGACTATCTTCTTTAGAAGATACTGCCGGACGTATCTTTCCGCAATAGGCAACCTTGCAGACAGTCTAGTACTTGACTAAGAACTTGCTTTATTAAATACACATGACGCGTCGTGTAAAGTGATTCTACCCTTTATACGCCGCAATCATCATTGTCCAGCACGCACCACGATTCGCAACTTCAAGAGGTGGGATATGGAATGTGAAACTACACGATGCTTGAAGCTTTGTTTAGCTGTCAAACAGACATGGCATATCGTGCGAGCTGGTGCGTTGTTGAAGCCGCGTTCGCATAGCGTTTGCGACACTTCACCAGCCGGCTAGTACAAATGAAATTCACTGACTGGGCGGACTATTTATGTGGCTACTATGAGTTTCTGACTTTAATACTCACCAATCCAATTACTTTTGACTACTAGCAGATCCCGACATCTCCAATCGCCGCAAAGTCCCCAACACCCGAAGCGCAATCATGCCAACCAGCCCTGCACAACTACACGGCGCAGCCTTGATCGCACCAATATACCACATCACCATCAAAGTCCTACCACCTTCTTCATCTAGTCACTATCTCACGCACATCCGCGCTGTCGACAACCCCGCAGAGATCGCTCGCACCCGCGAACACCGCTCATTCAGAACAGCAGCACACGACTGGAAACACGAGCACTTCACATGGAATTCTTCCGACATGGACCGCGGCCTGAACATCAGACCAAGAATCAAATGCGAGCTGGAGTGGGAGAGAGACAAGGAAGATGAGGAGACGGCGCGGGATATACGAAATCTAGCGGAGCAGAAGGGTGAAAGGGTGCCGGATAAGCGAGAGGCGCTCGCTATGGCCTGGCTAGCGAGGACGGGCCAGATGGCTGTTGGTAAGTTTGGCGTTTGTCCAAGTTTGGCGGTGTTTTACGATACTAATGAGTTGTTAGGTCGTGCCATATACGAACCCGATTTCGGGGTCAGGGATGAGAAGGAGTTCTTGATCATCAGCAGGAGAGCCGGAGAGTCCATGGAGGCGAGCCTATATGTGGATGGGAAGGGAGAGGAGAAGTTTGTTGCGAAGGCTGTCGGGGAGAATCATTTCGACGCTGTTATGGTGCTGGAGAATGATTTGGTCGAGCATCACAGGCGGAAGATGCGGAGGTAGTACATGTCGAGGTTGCAAGGTGACTGGGGTCTCGGCTTTGATGTGATCGAATTGTTTGCATGCACCCTCAAGGCCTGCTATATGGAGTTTGGAAACGCGTGTATCATATTGAGTGGTATTATTCATGAGGATCAGGCCTATACGTTGAAGCGTTCTATCGTTGTATGAATTGGATGCTTCTTGACTGTCTCTCACCTTCGATTGTCAAACCATGACGTAGGGCCTAGAGGCCCGGGTCCTTGAGCGTTTGTCTGCCACGCGCAGCTAGAGCTTCCATCCTTGGATCTCTATGCTACCCACGGTAGAGTCAACAGATCACAACCCGCAGATACGATTTCTCCCATCAACCCCCACATCAACCCCATGCACGTTCCAGATGGCCAGTTTCGAGGAAATAGATCGCCGGCTTACGAGAGACTTCAACGCTGCTGTTGAGCTTCTCCAACAAGACGAATTTGAGAAGTGTAACGATGCTTTGCGCAATTTGCTCGCCGACTCCGACATCTCTAGATATTACCGCATCAGATGTTACACAATGCTTGCAGGTGGTTTGGATGATTTTCATGAAGCATACGCCTTTTACGTCAAGGGTGAATCCCTTTGGCGTCTTACGGAGGCATGGTTTCGTGTTTTCCCGACTCCGGCTGCGAAACAGACGCTGGATGACCTTCGCGAGTGTTTGGAAGAGATAAGGTCAGTTTCCTCTATACTGTTCGGAGGCAGAAACTAAATTGCATACCTTCAGGGAGGCTTTGCTCAACGACGAGCAACGACCCGAGACTGTGCCACTTCCCAACGTCGAGGTAGATGTGCTTCGTGCTATAGGAGCATGCTATGACGGAGTGGAGGAGGACCTTGAGATCGCGGAGGTAGAGGAAAAGGCGTGGTCAGAGAACGAGATGAGCGACGAGGACATGGGCGGCGAAGAGGAAGTGAACGACAGGGAAACGAAGGCTGAGATCGAGCATAAATTGGACGACAAAGAGGAGAGCGAGGCCCAGAGGGCTGGCGAAGAGCAGACAGCGCTACAGGGTCAAAAGCCAAAGGGCGAGATGGTATGTCTGAAAGCTACTGCTGTCACAGGGGTTGTGTTGACATCGCGCAGGTGCTACCATACCGTCCGCCACACATACGCTGACCCAATTTGGGTAGAGACAGGAAAATCATGTCAGAGAAGTCCTGAAGGCCACATGCTTGATCGAGCACCCAAGTTTGAGTCTACGATAGACGCAGACCAGGTCAGGCTGGACAACCCAGCATCTTTGTCGGCGTCTAGGATATCGATCCCTACACACAACCTCTGTAAGACCTTCCTGTAGCGAGCAAAAACTGAGAGTTTGTCACGGATGAAGTGGCTAGAGTTTGTCATGGACGAGGTACTCCACCCGCCACGTGCACCTTCCGCTGTAGCAGTAGCGAGCCAACGGAAAAATTCCCTTCAACGTCCGCAACCTTACAACACTCCCGTGTGACGAGTGTGACTTCAATGTCTGAGTCAAAGGCGCACTCTATTCGTTGCTCTTTCAGTGTTTAGATTGCTCGCTTGCGGCTTCCCGGGGAGAATAGATTACCCCAGACGAAAACCAGGGACGCGCGAAGCGCGCCGCTGTGTGCCACAACCACATTCGGATGCCGTTTCAATATCACCACAATATCAACTTTTTCGCTTGTGATTGGAACACTGAGCTATCAAGAGCCTTGGAAGCTACACGGCGCGCTGCATGTGTGTGGCCATGGAACAACAAGCTATGTTTCGCCATAGCGGCTATGCCCGTTGCTGCTACAAAGCCCTAGGCAATGACTTGTAATCATCTAACAGTACTATGTGATCCTTGACTTACCTGACACGATCGGTCGATGTGCTCCGTCTCTGATTGGGAGTATCATGAGAAGCCATACAGACGATGAAGACCTTTGAAGACATATAAGAGTAGGTAGAAACAAGTGCAACGGATCAGCATCAAAGCAACAACATTCGCTACCATTCTCTCACACACTCCACGATGTACACATCCGCACTCCTCCTCGGCGCCATCGCTGTCCTTCTCGACACAGCATCCGCCCACGGCTTCGTCAAAGGTGTCAACGTAAAGGGCACTTTCACCAACGGTTCCGACCCCGTGTGGTACTACTTCTCCAAAGACAGCCGCCCCCAAACCGCAGGCTGGGACGCATTGAACCAAGACATCGGTTTCGTCGAGCCCGCATCCGTCGGCACAGCAGATGTGAACTGCCACAAGAGTGCCACTGCAGGACGTCTCTACGCTAACGTCAACGCCGGGGATACCATTGAGTTTGAGTGGAACACTTGGCCTGATAGTCATAAGGGCCCGATCATCAACTACATCGCGCCTTGCAACGGTATGCCATCTGTTTAAACCAGTCCAGCGCGCACTCTTACTAATCACTTATTTCATGCAGGCGATTGCACCACTCTAACCCCCAGTGCTCTCCGCTGGTCCAAGATCTCTCAATCTGCCATCGTCAGCCCTGGAACTTGGGTTACAGACACGCTCATCAAGAACAAGTTCAAGGTCTCCACTGTTCTTCCCGCCAAACTTGCTCCTGGCAACTACGTTATCCGTCATGAGATCATTGCTCTTCACGGTGGGCAGAACGTGAATGGCGCGCAGTTGTACCCCCAGTGTAGGTCACTCATCTTCCAGGCTGCTTTCGATGTAAAAAGATCATATACTAAGTATTGCTGTAGGCTTGAACCTCAAGGTCGGTGGTAGCGGCTCTGTTGCACCGACGGCTGGCGTTCCTGGTACCAGCTTGTACACAAAGGACATGCCGGGTATCGTGTTCAACATCTACACCAATCCTACGACTTACACGTTCCCTGGTCCGGCGCTGTGGACTGCTGCTAACTAGGCGCTGTTGTCAGAGCTCTGTGCTCGAATGCAGAGGATTGGACGACTATGGGCTCTAGGGCCTTGGTTCTGAACTTGCGACTGACAATGTCAACTGCGGGCGGGTGGTGAACGAGTTCTCTTCGTGTTTATACTTGGTTGTCTTGATATGTACATAAACCCGACATTCTTTTATCGGATCGCACCTCGAATTGCAGGCGATCTTCAGAGGGCTCCGTTCAGTGTCTTGTGTAGGCCTCATGAGTGAGACCCGTGAATGTAGCTGGTTCAGCAGGCGACGCGTGAGCAAACTGTCCGTTGGCATGAGCGCGTGAAGTTTTGTAGAGGTATATTGCAAGCCTAGCTCGATGCCTAGAATTGAAACAGTAACACTAGGAGGACTGATCAGCCAACCATGGGTGAAAAACGCCAGACTCCTCATTTCCCTTTTGAACAATACACTCGACACACGGTCGATCACCTTCTTCTCCACTTGTCGCATTGCTCTCACTTCTTGACTGTCTTAGCAGCCTTGCCAACAACCTTGACCAGCTCTCCGTATGCCTCGGTGAACTCCTCGTCACCCTCGCCGGCCTTCTTGCCCATCCTGTCCTTGCCGATCATGACCACACTAGTGGGTCGCTTCGTTGCGCTTGCCTCGCCGAGCTGCGCGCGGCTCTTGATGTAGATGTAGGGTACGTTGTGGTCTTCGCAGAGAACGGGGATATGCGCAATGACGTCCATGGGCGAGATATCGGCGGCGATGACAACAATGGCGCTGGGGTCGTCGAGGGAGGATCCGGCGCCTGAAGCAGCGGACTTGCGCAGCGCTTTTACGACTTCCTTGACACCGCGACGGAGGGTCTTGGACTTGGCGGCTGTAGCAGGATGAACGTTAGTCTTGTTCTTTCAAGTGCGCAAACAGGCCAACACATATGAAGTGGGAAACATACACTTCTTGACGGTCTTGAGGATCTTCTTGACCTCCTTGTCGTTGTCTGCGAGAGGGAAGGCAAAGGGAACGAGTGCGCCGCGCGGCTCATCACCGTCCACGACGTTGACCATTGAGACTTCTGGCTCCTTCTCGAGCTCAGCCTCGAGCGCGTCTACCATCTCGACATCGCCCTTGACCTTCTTTTCCTTCTTGTCCTTTTTGCTCTTGGACACGCCGTCTGTCTCTGCGCGCTTTTCCTTCTTTTCCTTCTTGTCCTTCTTCTCCTTCTTCAGCCTCTTCTCTTCGATATCTTTCGACATTGTGTGGGTAAGCGACTGTAGGTTTTGGGTAGGAATTAGAAATGCGAAGATGTGGTGGCTGGTAATGCGTCGTGCTGAAGTCGGTTTCGCGAAATTTTGGAAGAGAATGAAGCTTCATCTAGCGGGCCCCGGGGTGGTCTGTGCGACTAGTGGCCTTTTCAAGAACCTCCAGGGCTTGGAATGCTCAACTTCGCGAAGAACACAAACATCACAGCAAGGCAGATATCAATTTGCGTTCATGTCATGATGGCATAAGAAGACGTATTCATACAGTACTATTTGAGACCGATTTACACCTTGACTTCATATCCACTACCGTAATATCTCCCATCTCCGTCACCGCGAAGTCGAATCATGACATACTATGGTATATGTAAGGAAATAGCCCAATGCCACCAAGAAAAGGCATTACCGAAGTACAGGCAAAAAGAAATAGATATTAGCAAGAATGCAACAAAGGCAGCGCTAGTAGCAGAACCGAAGTGAAGCAATAACGCGCCTAGGGCCAGCCTTCAACAGTCCAGAAATGCCGATGGGTATGAGCGAGGGAGAGGTATTAGAAGAATGCCAAATGAGTAGAGCATGAGCTCGAGAGTGTAGGAATCTGGACCAGACCCGCCCTGTGCGCCGTATTACCCCGATCTTGAGAAAAATGAAATGAAATGAGATAAACAATAGACCGATGCTGGGGGCGCCAAACTCCTTGCCATGCTCCCAGGTGCAAGGAGAGGACGAAATATAGGAAGGAAATCCACAGTCTGTAAAAGTAACGCGACATGGAAACAAGATCGTGGAAGATCGCGACCAGTTCCGGAAGCTGTCTCTCGCTTAGTAGGCCATCTGCATCTCGAGCACCTGGACACCACCAGCAGCCATTGATGGCGTAGCGGATCCGGAACGAGACGACATGGCATCTTCGTAGCCAACAAGTGCTTGCGAATGTAGCTTGAAAGCTTCGCCCATAAGTTTGGTGATGCTAAGTATCGTTAGTGCCAAGTTACTGAAGAACAAATAGGCATTTACATACCCCCAAACGACGACCTCGTCGATCATGCTGCCCCATAGTCGCGCGACAGTGGAGCTCAGCTTTGCACCGTAGACATCCACGGAATCGTCGTCAAACAGATTGCGCAGCTTGTTGTACATGGCCAGCTCCTCCTCGGTAGCTGGCTCTTCGTCGTGCTCCAGGCGGTAGAGCCATAGTGTCAAGATGACCATCAGATCCATGCCGGTAAGTGGATGCTCGATGCTCCAGTTGGTAGCGGAAGTTCGGGCAACCCAGCGTATGCCTTGCACGGCAGCAACCTCGATGCAATCGAAGCATTCTTGGATGACCTTGATCATCTCTGGTGAACGCTGGACCTTGTCGCGGGCATTCGTCATAGCAGCAGCTACTTCGTAGGAGTCGTGATAGCGGAGAGCTTCTTGAATGGACTTGAGATCGACCACGAGTCGGGCCCTGGTATTCCTGTACAGCGCCATGGCGTTGAAAATGAGAGGATGGCCCTTGTGTGGAGCGCTCAGTTGGACAACGACTGTCTCAGGCTCGCAGAGCTCAAGCGACTTCTCCCATGTCTCCAGGGCCAGGCGAAGCTTGTACTCGGTGACTACGTCTTGGAGAGCTTCAGGGCTACGCTTGTGGTACCATACTTCGAGGAACAGTGCGTTGATCATGACGCGTGTCGCGAAAGCACTGTAACGAGCAGTCTCGCCTTGGAATAGGTTGTCATGCGCTTGGCGGAACGTGATGATCCTGGAAGCACTCAGGCTCTCGCGCCAGGCTTCGTCATCTGAAACCTCCATGGTCCAGAGCGACTCCGAAGAAGGCAGCTCCAGGGTGTCGAACTCGTTGAAACCCATTGCAGGAGTGTGGTTGTAGGTGAGCGTCAGTAGGCCGAAGAAGATATAGACCGCATAGTAAGTCCGTCGGCATTGCTCGTCGACAACCCATTCTTCGTGGTTTGGCTGAGCGCCATCACGAGCATCTGATCGGAGCTTGAGCTCGTACCGATTTCCAGCGACCATCTACGATGTGTTAGTGGCGATCGTGAGCAAGACACACTTATACGTACGTTGGCAAGAAGACTCTTAATCGAGCAAGCCCACTCAAGGCCCTTTGGATCACCACTCCAGCTAGAGAAAATCATGTTGAGCAGGGTGCTCTGCATCGTCCACAACGGGCATTTGCGGGAACTGAAGTTTTCCTTATTCTG